TGCTGCTGCACTGAAATAAAGATTGATACAGATTTACTTATGTAAAGCAAAGCCACAGTACACCCTACAGATAGGATAAAAAATAAATAAATAACTCAAAAAAAAAGTCAAGACCTCCAGTTTTTATTGGACTCTACAGAGTGGAGATGTTAGTCCTACTCCTTCCACATGGCAGGTGAAGGGAATTTTGTCCCTGGGATGACCAGATTGGGCCTGTTATTTTAGGGGGGCTCCATTGACTACAGGTTGGTGGGATCCTGTTGTATGTCATGAGCCCTGTGTTAATGTCAACAATCTGGGATGTGATCCCTTATCGACATCTGAGCCACGATTCTTGGCCACTATGTTTCCTAACTCCACTTAGTCTCCATAAATATTTACCTGTATTCTCTGGTGATTTTTGTTGGGGTTTTAACTACTAAGGTTACTGAGTCATATTCATTTAAGAGTTGGTTTATGTTGGGATTAACAATGAAGACAGCCATGTTAGGACTAGACCCCCTCCCCTTGCAGATGGGTTACCTTTATCTCCCTGGATAGATGACAAGGACAGTTGGGCAGACAGTGACTAACTATAACTTATCTTTCTTGGTTGCCCAGCAACAACATCCCTTAATGACCTTCCTGGTACTTTTCCACCAGCCCCCTATATCTAGCCCAAGCCTGTGTATGGCAATGGGCTCTAGCTCTTTAGCTGGGGTCTCTCCCTCATCAGGGCTCCTGCCTAAACAATAAACCCTGTATTGGTGTTTGTGCTGTCTCTCTGCCTCTTCCATGCCTCTTATTTTCTAACAGTTTATATAAAACTTTCTAGATGATCTCATGGTCAAAGAACTGTTATCTTGGGTGATTCTAATACAGTTGATACCCTATATGTGTCTGTGACTGGGCTATTTGAGGTCACTGACCCTGTTCTCCTCCCCCGACTGATAAAAATCTAATATGTATATATAACCTCTATAGAGTTGTGATGCTGTTGCTGGTTCCTATATTTATGTTTTTCAAGTATATCAAGCCTTCTAAAATACAAAATTTAGATAAACATGGTAACAAAAAGTTAGTGGTACTGATATATTGTTCTATTAGTTGATAAATTGTCCATCAAAATTTTAACCATGGCTCTTTTAAGTTTTTGTCATTACAGTTCTGATACTTCTGGGGCACTTACAATCAAGTCCATTAAAAAAAAAAGACCCTAATCACTACTTATGTGTCAACCCAATTAGCTTTTTAGACATCTACTTTTGTTAGATTTTGTTTTGTGTTGTCCTTATCTAGAAGCCCGCTGCCTAAGAGCCACTCTTTCTAAGCCTCTTTTTTGCTTAAATTTGACCAAAAGGGGCTAGTTGGCACTGTCTCCCACCCGATCTGCTCCATATCTCCTCCTGACATGGGACCAAAACCAACCAAACAAACAAAATCCAGGAAAGAACGACCAATCAAGAAAGATCTTCAGTCTATGGCCCTACCACTCTGGATGTACCCTATCTTGTCTGGTCTTGAAAGCTAAGCAGGGTTGGGCCTGATTAGTACTTGGATGAAAGACAGATACTCAAAAGAGACTGCTCAGAGACAGTTTGGAGACAAAGGGGGGAATACCATCAAAGTTCCAATGGAGTCACTGGTGCCAGACCTCTCAAAAATAACCAAGGCCGAGAAGATTGGTTTTTATGCATGTGTAGCTATCTTGCATTAAAGCCCTTCTAGACACAAACTCATGTTTTTAAACAGGGTCTTCTACTTAAATAGAGACAAAATAACTATTTTTACTGGCTCTAAACATGTCCTTCGATACTTAAAGATGATGGTTTCAACTTTTTTTAAAACAATGCGTTTTCTTGAACATAGGTAGTGTAATATATTGTTGCCATGGTAATTCTACTCAGTTTCAAAAAAAAAGACATTGTCTAGATAAATAAATAAATATATATATATATATATATATATATATAAAATGTCCACCCATTAAAACCCCATTGGAGATGCCCTTTTGTTTTTATCTTGTCTACTACTCCCACTGCAGTTAAAGTAGCAAGTCAAGCAAGCTTCTCTACAATGGGATTGCATCCCTGATCCAGCTTCACCGTGCAGGATCACCCTCTGGAACCTGAGCACCCTCCCTCGGCAGGACTCTGCTTCCCAGAAAACAACAGGGGACCAAAACGGTGGGATCACAGCCCTACTCTATTCACTCCCTGGTAGCTGACTAGTCAACGCGGGGCAGAGGCTTGAGTTGACTTTCCAGCAGGACAACCGGACTGTTTTTACACTAGCTATCTCACTGTGATGGATTGTCACCCCTTGTTTGTATCTGTTGCTATAACTCTCAACATAATCTTTGCCATAGGCCTGGCAGAAACCACCCCTGCTGATTGGACTCACGGTGATAGGTTTTTATTTGCTCTCTTCTATCTCTTTTGGGAATTACTGTTTATTGTTACTGATGTGTTTTCCGTTCGTGGCTTCATAGCCCTCCTCCTGTGACCTATGTATGCATACTACTGGGGAGGAAATGTCACTAGGACTTTGCTATTCCATACTTACTATTCTTGTGCAGGCACTGTCATCGGGTCATACGCTCACAACCATACCATCTATTCAGTGTGCTCCCATGGGAATCAGCATATCTACTTCAACCCCACTTACCACCCTGGGGAGCAATGGTTAGAGGTCAGCACTGTCCAAAATCCTGGGAACCTAGTCAGCCACGTCCAGGAGCACAGCCCTGATAAACCAGTGTCAATGCTTTTTGATTCATGTGCGGTCATAGACAAGGGTGGATGTGGAGGTACAGGCTGTGGCTGTGGGGGCCTAGTTTGGGAAAGAGCCTATACATCAAATGATAAGTGTATGTGCCGGGAGACAACTCTTGGCCATATGATGTGTGGGTTCTTATTATTGTCCTTACTGGAGTTGTGTTTCATGGGCCACATGACGTAGGGATAAGCATGAAGCCTTCCTTCACAAGGGGAAAGCTGCCCCTGACTGCACCCATGGCACCTGTAACCCTGTAGATTTCACTGTACTTAAGCCATCAGATTGGACACGGGGTGCCTTACAAATTGGCAATTAAAAAGATAACAGGGGGCGGGGGGAAGGGAGGAGAAATGACCCAAATATTGTATGCACATATGAATAAAATTAAAATTAAAAATAAATAAATAAATAAATAAATAAAAAGATAACAAATGGCCTCCTGAGCGAATTATCCAATACTATGGTCCTGCCACCTGGGCAGAAGACAGGTCCTAGGGCTATCGCACCCCTTATATATGCTCAACCACATCATCAGGCTGCAGGCTGTTGTTGAAATTATAACTAATAAGACTACAAGATCTTTTCAATCTGCTGGCAAAACAAAGCACTAAGATGCTCAATGCTATCTATCAGAACCGATTGGTTTTAGACTATTTGCTGGCCTCAGAGAGGAATTTGTGGAAAATTTAATCTGAGCAACTACTGCTTACAGATTGATGATAAAAAAAAAAAGGTCATAAAAGAAATCACAGACAAAATGAAAAAGCTTGCCCATGTCCCCGTCCAGACTTGGAGAGGATGGGATCCTAATAACTTGTTTAGATGATGATTTTCTGCCTTAGGTGGATTCAAAACTCTAATAGGGGCAATAGGCCTAACCCTATGCTTAATAGTTCCCTGTCTGGCTTCCCTGAACTATTATGGAGGCCATTAAAAAAAAAAAAAAGGCCATGCATGAAATGATGCTATAGAAATACAAACCCCTAGATTAAGGTGATGCTTGTTTGACCCTGCGAGCATCAAAGGGGGAATAATGTAGCAAGAAAGAGGAGGACAGGAAAGAAACAGACAGGCTGTGTTCTGACAAGGAGGCAGGGGGAGGGGATGACAAAGCAGAGAGATAAAACTTAAAGAATTGAAACATGAAGGTCACATAGCAGGGAGGAAATGAAATATCCAATGAAGTCACATGCACATTGAGCTTTGCTTTTTGCTTCTGTAAGCTGTTTGCAAGAGTATATAAGATGAGACCCCTTTGTTCTCGGGGCTCAGCCTTTGGACACAGTCTGCTGGGTCTGTGCTGGCACAATAAAACATTGATTCCTGCTAATCTGCCTCAGAGACTCCTATCTCAGCTAGCGAACTCCATCACTCCTGCCTCCTTAATTTGTTTTGTCTAATATTACAGAACACAGACTACTGGGAAACAGATTAGGACAGGCTCCACAACTGCATCGCAACTATATAAATTGTATACAACCTGCTCATATTGTAGGAGCTCAGATTGACCTGAGTGATTCAATTCTATAAAGTATTTGCTCCATTTGTGTATGCGAGTGTCTGTACTGGGGTTTGAACTCAGGGCCTCAGCTTGCTAGACAGGCTCTCTAACACTTGAGCTACTCCGCCAGCTTTGTTTTGTGTTTGTGTTGTGTTTTTTCAAGATAGGGTTTCCAAACTATTTGCCCGGACTGGCTTGGAACCGCTATCCTCCTGAACTTTGCCTCCCGAGTAGCTAGGATTACTACAGAAGCTGGTGCACGCTTTTTTTTTTTGGCAGGACTGGAGCTTTGCGCTGGCTAAGCAGGCGCTCTACTGCTTGACTCATGCCTCCAGCCCCCAACTGTGTTTCTGACTTAGCTGGCTCAGGACAGATGCGTTTCAAAGGGAGTGCAAAAATGATCAAGTTACCCTTTAGATTTCCATAAATCAGCATCTGCTGATTTCCTTCTCATGAAGCAAAACAAGGTGTGCCAGGCAGAAGCCCTTTACCCTTGCAGGTTTTCACGCTCTCAAAAATCCTGCTTGGGCTGGAGAAACGGCTCAAGTGGTAGAGCGCCTGCCTAGCAAGCGTGAGGCAGTATGGCCAAAACAAAAGAACGGTGCTTGAACTGGAGGCATGGCTCAAACAGTAGAGCGCCTGCTTTGCTAGTGCGAAGCTCTGAGTTCAAACCCTAGTCCCACCAAAAAAAAAAAAAAGAAAGAAACCCATGCTGTCAGAATCCACGCTGCGACATCTGATGACGCATTCCGTGCGCCGGAAGTGTGGGCTGTGCACTCACGGCTCTGTTATGGCGGCAGTCACGGCGCGCTGGAATCATGTGTGGGTCGGCACCGAGACTGGCATCCTGAAAGGTGGGTGTCCGGGTTGGGCGTCAGGGTGCGAGGGTGCTCACTGGAGACCCCGGCGCGAACGACGCCCTCTTCCTGCAGGGGTGAACCTTCAGCGAAAGCAGGCGACAAATTTCACGGCGACGGGACAGCCGCGGCGCGAGGAGGCGGTGAGCGCCTTGTGCTGGGGCGCGGGCGGTGAGACCCAGGTGAGTGGCCGCTTGCCGGACGGGAGCTGGGAGACGGGGCGCGGCAGTCTCTCCATCCTGCCCCTCTCTGCCTGCAGATCCTGGTGGGCTGCGCGGATCGGACGGTGAGGTACTTCAACACTGAGGACGGCCTGTTCCAGGGCCAGAGGCATTGCCCTGGCGGGGAAGGCACGTTCCGAGGCCTCGCCCAGGCCAGCGGGTAAGACTGCTCATCCCCCGCTTAGCGTTGAGGTCCCCCAGGACCACGGAAGAGCGGTGTTAAACCCTTAGGCGACACAGGCCTCCTGGGATGGTGACAGAGACATGGGTTCTTGCCACCCTCCGTTCATTCCTATAACACATTTATTGAACACTACAGATTCTGGGCACTGGGAGTGTGCAAGGGCTGGTATGCCCTCATAAACTTTGCACCCTGTAGGGCTCTTCTCCTGGCTACATCTTAAAATTCTGGATAACACTAAGCTAGTCCTTTAGTAGTGTAAAGGGGGCTTAAAAGCTGCTTTTGCTGAGGGTCACTGACTCCTTTCTTGGGCCCAGGAATTAACTAAAGGCAGGAAACAGATGTTTACAACGTCTCCTTTTAAATTGACAATGGGAAAAATGTAACCCGGACTACAAAAGGGAAAAACTTGGTGGCCTGTTTGCATGCTGGATAGTTTAAATCATACATTTTTTTTTTTTTGGTCCCTTTTGTCTGCATACAGAAAGGATCACTAACTTTTTACATGGGCTGGCCTCCAAGCAAGATACTCCCAGATATCTGCCTCCCAGGTAGTTGATTTTTTTGTGGTACTGGGACTTGAACTCAGGGCCTTCACCTTGCACCATTTCACCAGTTCTGTTTTTGTGGAGGGTTTTTCAAGATAGGGTCTTATGATAGTCCTGATCTCTGCCTCCTCAGCAGCTAGAATTACCAGCATGAGCCACCAGCACCCCGCTTGAGCATGCTTTTATTTTTTTTTATTTTATTTTATTTTTTGGTGCTAGGGATCAAACTCAGGGCCTTGCACTTGCCAGCCAAGCGCTCTTCCACTGAGCTAAATCCCTAACTCCTTGAGCATGGTTTTAAATGGAGACTAACAACCACCAAGGTAGTGACGCTTCCAAAGTAAAGCATGGGAAGATCTGGTGGTTAGGTTACTGGCCCAGCTTTTCTCCCTAAATGAAGGCTGTGGACAGACTGTGTTGTTTTGGTAATTCAACAGGTTAAGTGTGGAAAGGATCTGTAGGGGAGAGGGGTTTTGAACTGAGTCTTGAAGGATTTGTACACTTTTGACAGTCTAGAAAGGACATTCTAGAAAGAAGATGCTATCTGGGCAGGGGCCGAAGACTGAAAGCATGCTAAAGGACACAAAAATACGATAATTAGAATTTGGAGGTTGGAGTCAAGAAAGCATTGCATGTAAATGGGGACTCTGTGATTGACTAGGATTAAATACAAAGGGCTTTGAGTTCTAGGTTGAGAGAATTGCACTGTTTTTGGTGGTAGGGGGTACTGGGTTTTGAGTGGGAAGTACCATGGAAGAGCCTGTGGGAGTATGAGGACTGGAGAGAACAGCTGGGAGACTTGCCACAGCTCAGGAAAACAATACAGAGCCTGAACCTAGGTGGGGAGGTGGGAAGATGGAAGAAAGAGCATAGTCCTAGGCTGTGCAGATCCTGCAAAGAGGCTCTCATGGGAGTTTTGACCTGGTTTCAGAACACAGCCCAGGCTGGCCCCCAGCTCAGCATCCTGAGTGCTGGTATAATAGGCATGAGCCACTTACTATGCTTACTGGTAAGGCCTATTTTTTTATTTTCTATTTTGATGATACTGGAGTTTGAACTCAGGGCCTTGTGTGCTTAGTAGGCAGGTGCACTACCACTTGAACCCTACCTCCAGCCCATGGAGGGATATTTTGAGGAAAGACATTGACATTAGTGTTTGAAACCCAGAAAACGGAAGTCAAGGGTAGAAGCTGCTGTTTCACTTTGTGTACATGCTAAATTCAGAACAGTCCCATTTCAATCCTTTCAGAACTTGATATTTTTTTCTCCCCATATTGGGGTTTGAATTCAGGGCTTCATGCTTGCTAATTAGGCACTCTGCCACTTGAGCCACTCCACCAGCCCTTTCTCTGTATTGGGTATTTTTCAAGATAGGGTCTCAAGAACTATTTGCCCCGGCTACCTTGATCTTCCTGATCTCTTATCTCCTAAGTAGCAAGGATTACAGGCATGAGCCACCAGTGCCTGCTCCAGAGCTACTGATCTTGACCCACAGAAACCAATTCAAGATTCACAAAGACCAGCAGGGCCAGACTTAGCTGTGGAATAGAAAAATAAGTCTGCTTTGGAAGATCACAGACTTGATTTCTAGCTCAGGTTCTGACATATATAGCTGAGTGGTCGAGAATTTCTCAGAGCTTCAGTTTCCTCATTTATAAAACCCTTTTCCTTGTTTTTTTGGGTACTGGGGCTTGAACTCAGGGCCTGGAGCTTGCTAGGCAGGCGCTTTACTACTTGAGTCACTCCAGCAGCCTTTTTTTATGTTGGGTATTTTTGAGATAGGGTCTTACAAACTGTGCCTGAGGTGTCCTTGAACCTTGATCCTCCTGAACTCTGCCTCCTGAGTAGTTAGAATTATAGGTCTGAGCCACTGGTGCCTGGCTGGCTTACATTTTTTAAAATCCTGTCTCCTCCCCTGCCTGTAGCACCCTCATCACGTGTGTGGATTCTGGAATCCTCAGAGTCTGGCATGACAATGAGAAGGAGGCATCTTCTGATCCAGTGAGGTTTCCCTACCCTGATGGTTGGGGAGGGTGGGAGCCAGGGTAGGGCCTAATGTGGGCATTGGGAGAGGGAAGATTAAGGACTTTGGAATTGGCTCATCTCTCATTCTTTTCAGCTCCTGGAACTGAGGGTGGGTCCTGGGGTGTGTCGGATGCGCCAGGACCCAGCATACCCCAATGTGGTTGCCACAGGTGGGAAGGAGAATGCTTTGAAAGTGTGGGACCTGCAGGGGTCTGAGGAACCTGTGTTCAGGGCCAAGAATGTGAGTGATGGGATGGGGAGGGGCTGTGTCTGAGGACAAGGGATGCTGAGGCATTTACTGACCAGAGACCAGATGGACTTTGAGGGTGATGAAGAACTAAAGAAAGCATCACATTGAGTCTGTCACCACCCTCTGTCCCATCTTCTTACCACCCCTCCCCTAGGTTCGTAATGACTGGCTGGATCTGCGAGTTCCCATCTGGGATCAGGATATACAATTCCTCCCTGGGTCACAGAAACTTGTCACATGCACAGGGTACCACCAGGTGAGGCACCATCTCACTCTTCCCTATTTCTGGTCTGTAGCAACTTCCTAGATAAATGGCTTCCCTGGGCAGAACAGGCCTTGTGGTATGGCAAGGCCAACTTCTCACCATTTTTCTTCCTTCCTAAACTCAGAGGACCATGCATTTCCCAATCTGGTCTAGCCCTGGTACTGAGCCTAAAACCTTCCCTTACTGCATTCTAGGATGGGATTTCTTGAACTATGGCTCTTTCTATATCTCCCACCTGCAAGAGAAAGAAGGGAGTGTCCCCTTCATAGTGGGATCCAGCAGATATAGATATCATGTGTGGACATCAAACTGGGTGTCAAGAGAATTGTTGTTGTCCTGATGCCACCTCTTTGATTTGCTTTGGGACCCAGGCCTGACCCTCTTTGGACTCAGTTCTCATCTTTGCATGAAGGGTCTGACCAGGGACTTTATTTTTTTGTACTGGGGTTTGGACTCAGTAATTCATATGCTAGGCAGGTACTCTTATCACTAAAGTCAAGCCCTCAGTCCCTTACTAGGGATCTTTATGGCTTATCTCATTTAAAGTCCTGAGACCCAGGGAGGGCTTTGTCACTATTTGCCAATTCCTTGGCTCCTGCACGTTGAAGTCTGATCTTAGAGACAGGCCTCTGCTCAAAACATGAAGACTTCCTCTCTCATGTTCAGGCTAAACTTTTCTGCTTAAAATTCAGCATCCTCTGATTCTTGGACCCACTTACTTTTCCATCCCTTCACTTCCCCAGATGGAGGGATGGAATGTTGACATACTCCCATTGTGGGGGACCTTTTCTCTGAGCTCTGTCCATTCATGCTCCTGAGCAGCTCTGCCCTACCCCCGTCTCCCCCCCAAAAAAAACAACCACACTCAGAGATGAGGTATATATCTCAAACGAGAAAGTTTCTTTGAGGAGGATCATAAATAAGCAGTGTCCAGATGAAAGGATAAAGTTACAGATGCCAGGGGGCAGTGTGGGTGAGGATGCTCTTGTGATGCCTCAGTCTTCCTTCAGGTCCGTGTCTATGATCCAGCCTCCCCCCAGCGCCGGCCAGTCCTAGAGGCCACCTATGGAGAATACCCATTGACAGCCATGACCCTTACTCCTGAGGGCAAGTGAGTTTAGAAGGGGAGGGATGGGTCTGGGGAAGAACACCAGGAGGTTCCGGCTGACCCCAGCCTACCTCTGGTCTCCGCAGTTCTGTCATTGTTGGAAACACTCACGGGCAGCTAGCAGAAATTGATCTTCGGCAAGGTGAGTGGACTACAGGGTGCTTAGGAAGAGGAAAGGGCAGGAAGTCAGGCTTCCCTTCAGAGGCTGTACAGGGAGCCACTGAGCCCTCAGTCACTGCCGTATTGCCTGGGTTTGAATCTTATTTCACTAAAAGCTATGTGACCTTGGACTGTTTAGTTCCATGTGCCTTAGTTTGCTTATCTGTAAAATGGAAATATTGATTACTCCTGATTGAGGGTTATTTTGAGGATTAAATATTGAAATGTAAAGTGGTCTGAATAATAACACTCAATAAATGGTTACTAGCTGACCAGCAAACATTGATGCATTCACCCTCCTCCAGGGCACCTACTGGGCTGTCTAAAGGGGTTGGCAGGCAGTGTACGTAGTCTGCAGTGCCACCCTTCGAAGCCCTTACTAGCTTCCTGTGGCTTGGACAGAGTCTTGAGGATACACAGGATCCGGAATCCACGAGGCCTGGAGCATAAGGTGAGAGCCCAGCTCTGGCCCTCAGCCCCTCTGTCTAACCCATGGTCTCCTGCAACTGGAAGATTCCGTGCCTCCATTCATGTTTCTGTCTCAGCATGGCTGGACTCCTCAAGGCCCCTTGTCTCTTGCAGGTATATCTCAAGTCTCGGCTGAGCTGCCTCCTCCTGTCAGGGAGGGATAACTGGGAGGTGAGCAGTCATAACTGGTAATGGGGGAGCCAAGGGCATGATGTAGTGATTTCTAGAGCCACTAGAACAAACCTGGTGCTGTTCACTTACCTGCAATGTCACATAATTTCTTTGAGGGGTGTTAACAAAGTCCTGACTGATTTATCGGTGAGGGTGAGGTACTTGAGCTTGACAGCAGTGGTTTCTAGGGGATGAAGGTGGTGGCGCCTAGAGGCATTATTTCCAAGTAAGCTCTTCTTTCTTGTTCCTGACACTGATCCCTTCCCACTCACTAGGATGAGCCCCAAGAGCCTCAAGAGCCCAATAAGGTGCCCCCAGAAGACACAGAGACAGACGAGCTTTGGGCATCCTTGGAGGCGGCTGCTAAGAGGAAACTCCCCGATTTGCACCATAGTCAAGGGGCTCTCCAAACCAGAAGAAAAAAGAAGCGGCCTGCCACCAGCCCCTGAAGACCTTGTGCTTATTTTGTAAATAAACAGTTTACCATCCACCAGGACCCTAAACCTTCTGTGATGGTAGAAAGGAGAGGAGCGGCTTGGGGTGGGGGCTTACTGAGCTAGAGCGGTGGGACAGGTGACGTCACAAAAGCGCGGCCTGGAGCCAGGCAGGCTGTTGTGGGTGGCACAGAGTACGGGGCTGCGCGAGCCATGGGCTGCTGCCAAGACAAGGACTTTCAGACCTCTGATGAACAGGCCAAGGACCCCGGGTTGGAGGAAGGAGAGGAAGGTGGGACCAGAGACACAAAGAGGGCGCAGGGAGCAGGAGAGGAGGGTGCCCCAAAAGGACTGCCTTGAAGTGTAGGAGCGAGTTCAGCAGCCTGGGATTCTCGCAGGTGCCGAAGAAATAGATGTGGACTCTCCAGGCTACCGGAATCGCAAGTCCAACGACAGCCTTCTGATCACGGTTCTGTGGCGCCGACTATCCATGTTCAGCCGTCGGGGCTCCTCACGGTCAACCAAGAGGCAGTCGGTACAGCTTCAAAGGCTGGAGATTCCGAACCAGGAGGGCAAACAGGAGAGCCTGGAGCAACCGGAAAAGGGGTGACCCCAGCTCTGTTCTCAGTCTGTCCCAAGCTCCAGACAATAAAATTTCTAACACGGGCCGCCGGAGGAGTCACGCCTCTGAACAAGGCGCAAGGAGCCGCGGGCCCTTTAAGGCTCCTTCCTTGAAGCTGGACCAGCCCTCTGGGGCGCTGAGCTCGCTCCTCGGGGCGGAGTTGCAACGGCAGTCTAGCCAATGAGAGGGCGAAGTCACGCCTACGTCGGGGGCGTGTCTTGGGTGGCTAAGCTAGAACAGGCGTGGTGCAGCCCTCTCGTCACGGGGGTGGGGTTACGTGTAGGTGACGTGGCGGTTCTTAATCTTGGTCGGGTTTCGACGGCTCTAGCCCCCGAAGAGGAGGTGGTGACAGCCTGGGAGATTGTGGCAGTGACGGCGGCGGTAAGCGACAGAGGAGGTAGGATCCGCTCTAAGAGATGTCTCGCCACCGTGTCAGTTCCGGGACAGTGGCTGCGGCGGTGGGGGAGGGGAAGGGAACCAGGCCTAGGGGGCAGGTCCTGCCGGCCTAGGCTCCAGGTGAACGAATACTTCGTCGTCCAATCAGAATAGCCCTTGTTGGGAAAGACGTCGGCACTAGCTAATCACTGCTTGCGGTCTTCCAGCAGGCGGAACTTTGACGGGGGTGGGACTTCCTGTTTCAAATAAACACCTAGAGGTTTCCCCCCTCCGCCTATCGAAGTATGTCCCCGCTGCTGAGGTCCGTCACCGTTTCTGCGTGAGGGATTGAAGGAAGTCACTGGCACAGGAAGGCACGGTTAGGACCTGGGGCAGTTGCACAGGGCGGGCTGGAGACTCTGGCAACGGGACCGGGCTCTGGCTCTGTCTTGGTTTCAGGCCTCCGGCCCGCGCTTTGGCCACCAGAGCCAAGTTGGAAGAAGAGTATGAGGAGGCTTCGCGTTGGCCCGGGAGGAAGCCGGCCTCTTCCCGCTGCGGGCGCGCCCTAGGGTCTGTCAGTTGCCTTGGGCGCGAAAGTCGGCCAAGTGCAGGAAGGGCCCGAGGACTTGCTGTTGAGGGGGGCAGTTTATGTATGGGGAAGGAGGCTGCCTGGAGAATGACACTCTCCCCTCCACAACAGTCCGAGGTTATGCGACTCAATGATCCCGCGGAAACGCTACGGGTCTAAGAACACGGATCAGGGTGTCTACCTGGGTCTCTCAAAGACGCAAGTCGTGTCCCCTGCAACTGCTGGCAGCAGCAGCGACATCACCCCTCTGCCCCCCCCAGTGGTCCTGGTTCCTCCCCTTCCCGACACCATGTCCTGCCGGGATCGGACCCAGGAGTTTCTGTCTGCCTGCAAGTCGCTGCAGAGTCGTCAGGTAAGATCTGGAGTGGGAAAAGCAAGAGTGGACCCTCCTAAATCTGGACAAAGCTGAGCTCCAGCACTCCTGAGAGAAGTGATTCCTAGGGGAACCTAGTGGAGCGCTGATAGGTTGGATGGGAGCACCTAGAATCTATTAAGCCACAGGGAAGAGGTGAGCTTGCTAACTGGAGGCAAGGTCCTAAACATTTTTTGGTGAGGAATTCTCCAGAGGGTTGGATTGCTAGTCTGGAAGAAATTATTTCAGGTCCAGAGGTTTCTGTAAGGTATTTGACGTGGATAAGAAACAACTTGAAAGAGCCTTTAGCTAAGAGTCATGCACCTGGAACTCTAGGTCCACTACAAGTTTTGGGATTTTTTGTTTTTTTGGTTGAACTAGGGTTTGAATTTAGGGCTTCACACTTGCAAAGCAGGTGCTGTACTGCTTGAGCCACATCTCCAGTCTATTTTGGTCTGGTTATTTTGGAGATGGGGTCTCTCAAACTATTTGTCCAGGCTGGCCTCAAGCTGAGATCCTTCTGATCTCAGTCTCCCAAGTACCTAGGATTACAGGTGTGAGCCACCGATGCCTGAATTTCATTCTTTATTGCTGATTAAAATTTCATTGTGTATTTCACATTTTCTTTATCCATTCATTAGTTGTAGGGTATCTGGGTTGTTTCCATAGTTATTTTTCACATAGGGTCTCACCTTTTTGTTCAGGGCTAGCCTCAGATGAAGAGCCTCCTACCTACAGCCTCCCTTGTAGCTGGAATTACAGGCATGACCCACTATGCCAGGCTTATTGATTTAGATGGAGGTCTTGCTAATTTTTTACCCCAGCTGACCTTGAATTGTTATCCTCCTGATCTCTGCCTTTGGAGTAGTTGGGATTACAGACCATTAGCCACTATGCCCAGCTGCAGTTTTTTTTTTTTTTTAATTAGACTCCCTTGTTTGTAGTCCAGATTTTCTGAACCCAAATGGGACCTAAGTAACTCTTATTTTTAAGTATTTTTACTATTTAGTTCTTTTAACAACTGACTTCTATGTGATCACCAAGAACTTATTTTCCAGTTTCCCTGATTCCAGAAATAGAATGACAATACTAGCTGTCATTTATTTAGTGCTTATGATATCAGGTAGTTGACTAAAATACACTTTTTTTTCCCAAGTACTGAGGTTTGAACTCAGGGATTACACCTTAAGCCACTCCACCCGCCCTTTTTGTGATTGGTTGTTTGGAGATGGTCTCAAAAAGTATTTGCCCCTGTTGGCTTTGAACTTCGATCCTCCTGAACAGCTAGAATTATAGGTGTAAGCCACTGGCACCAGGCTCTGAAATACTTTACACCTCTTATTTTATTTAATCTTAGCAGTAGGAGGTAGAGATTTTCTTCATGTTATAGAAGAGGAAATAAGAAATTCAAAACAATTCAAGTAACTTGCCCTAAATCCTCCACATAGTAAGCAGTTGAGTCAAGATTTGAACCTCACTCTTCTAGAGAGAGAGTTTAGTGGACATAAGAGGAGCAGTGACAGCTGGAAATCAGTTGGGGAAGAATTAAAGTTGTCACCTCTTGACATTGCTTTTCAGAATGGAATCCAGACTAATAAGCCAGCTCTGCGTGCTGCCCGACAACGTAGTGAATTTACCCTCATGGCCAAGTGAGTTGAGAGAAGCTTTGTCTAAGAGAATAGGCTTGTCTTTGGTATGAATGTTGGGATTGGTTGCTTTGGAGCTAATGTGGAAATAGTCCCTCTTCTGCCCTTTTCCACAGTGTTCTTTCCAATGTTTGTTTGCAGGCGCATTGGGAAAGACCTCAGCAATACATTTGCCAAGCTGGAGAAGCTGACAATCTGTGAGTGTTCTTGGGGTCTTTTACATGTGGGACAGTGAAACAAAGGGCTCAGGAGCCATACTTTCTGAGCTTTATCTTTTTTGTGTGGTTCTGGGGATAAACCCAGAGCCTTGTGCATGCTAGGCAAGTGCTCCACTACTGAGCTACATCCGTAATTCCCCTGAGACTTGTCATTGACTTTGCCAATGTACCTTCTCACTTGTCTCCACAGTGGCAAAGCGCAAATCTCTCTTTGATGATAAAGCGGTGGAGATTGAGGAGCTAACGTATATCATTAAACAGGTGAGCTGCTAGCTATCAGGAAAGCCAAACATTTTAATTATATTACTGCCATCATTTTCTGTTGCCATGTAGGTCTAGAGCAAGTGTCTCGACCTAGCTGCAAGCATCCTCCTCCTCCTCCATTGAGTCAGTAGACACTTACTGATTATCTGTCATGTACAAAGCACTGTACTAGGAACATGAGGCAAGATTCTCTCCTTCAAGGGCTCCTTGTCTAGAAGAGAGATTTGGCTCTACAAGCAGCCTACACTGACAATAAGTAGGAGGTGAATAGTAAAGTAAAGGTCGTGCAAAGAGATGAAGAGACAGTTTAGAGACACTGGGAAAGATTGATAGAGAGAATAAAATCTGAGCTGGATTCACAGCTTGTGTGGAGGAAGTGGAAGGACATTCCAGGAAGAGGAAACTGTTTTAGGTGGGACTTATAAAAGGGCAATTGAAGTCTTCTGCTTAGATGACACCTACTCAGGACAACCTGCCCTGATCATAGTGTTTAGTACTCCATCAAACGTTGCTTTTCTTTGTTTTTCTCTATTTCTTTTTGTATAGAATCTGTTTTATTTTTATTTTTATTAGCATATATTCATTGTACAGGGGGGATGCATTGTGACAATTCTGAATAGTCTTACATTGTATATTGTTTAGATTGACCTACTGTCTTCCCTCCCCCCCCCTTTGCATAGAATTTGAACTTTCTAAACATTCTCTGGAATTAGCTTATCAACTTATTTATGTTAAATTTTTTTGATACTGGGTTTCATAATCAGTGCCCTCACACTTGGCTGCCTACCATTTGCCAGACCTTTTTTCTGTTGGTTATTTTTGAAGTAGGGTCTTAACTTTTTTGCCTGGGCTGGCCTCAAACTTTTATCCTCCTGATTTCTGCTTCCTGAGTAGATAGGATTACAGGTGTGAACCACTGTCACTGAGCTTGATTATTGTGTGTCTGTGTTCCTCCTCATATACATGATCCCTCCTCCCCCCACAAAAAAGAAAATACATCTGTGTAGCCCCAGATAACCTTGAATTAAAGCTCCTCCTGCCACAGCCTTCTTAGTGCTGGGATTACAGGCATCTTTTTTTCTCCAGGATTCTTTTTTTCTCCTGCTACAGTGTCTGGCACCTAACTTGGTTGATTAAATGAGTGATTGGCAGGTAACTGGAAAGGTAGCTTGGTGGCTGGTATGAAGAACATTGTGGACTTTGCTAATGAGTACAGTATTGTCCTGAATGCTGTGGGTTTGTACATAGAATCTGGACTGGAATGTAGATGGGGCAGAGTTTAGGGAAGAAACTGTTACTGTTGTTTAGTACAAAGATGATGACAGAAACCAAAGGGCAAACCCATTTAAGAGATGCTGTGCTAGTAGAAGAAAAAGTTCTATTAACTATCAGGGTGTTGTTTTCTAGCTCCTTGAGAACTAGGTCATGGAGTCAGATTTGAATTCAAGAAGATCTACCACTCAGATTGTGACCTTTTGTAAGCTCCTAACTTCTGAGCTTCAGTTCCCTTATCAGTAAGATAGGGATAACAAAAGTACCTGCCTTATAGGGTTCTCGTGAGGAGTCATTTGTTTATTTTTCAATCACTGACATTACAGAGTGAACTTTTTTAGGGCTAAGACTATCTTAAATGAGGTGATCTAGGCTGGCCTGGCTGAAAAGTGGTATTTGAGACCTGAGTGATGAGGAAAAGGAGGTCATCCAAAGGTCTAGTGGGAACACATTCCAGAATGTGGGAATGCAGTTTAGAAAGTGCAAATAACAAAAGTAAGGGTCCTGAACTGTGGGCAACCGATGAATTTGCTGAACACAAAACAGGCCACTGTGACTGTAGCACAGCAGATGAGGAGGAGATGAGGTCAGAGAAGAAGGCAGGGGCCAGAGTAAGGAAAGAGCCTATGCAGGCCACCTAAGAAGTTTTTGTTGTAAATTTAGTCGTAAGCGCTAAACTCTTGGGAGATTTTATTTTATTTTATTTATTTGTTTTTGTGGTACTGCAGCATGAACTCAGGGCCGCACCATTCCACCAACCCTGTTTTTGCGAAGGGTTTTTCAAGATAGGGTCTCTTGAACTATTTGCCTAGGTCGACTTCGAATGGCAATTCTCCTGATATCTGCCTCCTGAGTAGCTAGGATTAGAGACGTGAGCCACTGGCACCCAGCTATTGGGAGATTTTAAATCAGAGGTGACATACCTTGATTTTTCGTTGAGAAGATCACTCTGGCCACTGTTTAGGGAATGGATTATAGGAAGGAAAGCTAGAAAGAGGATAGTCACTTAGGAGGCTCTTTAGTTTTTGGTAGTAATGGGGATTGAACTCAGGGCCTCACACTTGCTAGGCAGGTGCTCTGCCACTTGAGCCACTCTGCCAGCCCTGCTTTTGTGTTGGGTTTAGGATCGCTTGAATTATTTGCTGTGATCCTCCTGATCTCTGCCTCCCAAGTAGCTAGGGTTACAGGTATGAACCACCAGTGCCCAGCCCTTTGTGGGTTCTTGATAGGCTCCATGAGGAATTGAGGATAGCTTTAAGTTTTTGGTCTGAGCACCTGGTGAATGGTGATGCCATTTACTGAAATAGAAAAGAAGAGGAAGGTTATGGTTTTGAGGGAGGGGGAATTAAGAGCTGTTAGATAAGGCCTGGAGGTATGGCTCAAGTGTTTGCCTAGCAAATCCGAGGCTCTGAGTTCAAACCCCAGTCTCACCCAAAAAAAAAAAAAAAAAACCCATGGCACACAGTGAACAGACACAAAGCAGTATGGTTTTTTGTTTGTTTGTTTTGTGTTTTTGCAGTACTGGTGCTTGAACTCAGGGCCTACACTCTGAGCCACTCCACCAGCCCTTTTTTATGATGGGTTTTGTTGAGATAGGGTCTTGTGAACTATTTGCCTGAGCTGACTTCAAACCTCTATCCTCCTGATTTCTGCCTCCTAAGTAGCGAGGATTATAGGCGTGAGGCACCAGTGCCTGGCTTTTTTTGTTTTTGTTTTTAATGTTGGGGATCAAACCCAGAATTTTATGCATGCTAAATATGTGTCTGCCATGCTGCAGGCCTCTTTTTATGTCTGACACAGCACTGAGTATAGAGTAAGTATCAGGAGATGATAGCTGTGTGAGAGCGTACACGTGTTTAAGGAAATAATGAGTGTGTAATTTAGAGGCTTCTAACTTGGGTGCCTATGTGGGAAGTGGGACGTGTTTCTAAGCTAGAACCTAGAGGAGGAGCTTTTGTGGGGAAAAAATGCTTGGAATGCAGTTTGGAACACCTGACTGTGAGGAGGTGGCAGCAGCTCCAGAAGGATAAATCAGTCACCAGTGGAAATGAGTCTGGGAGTTTTAAGAGAAAGAGAAAGGTTGGGATACTAAATAGAGAGCCTGTCAACATTCCTTAAATTATTTTTATATTCAAGGGTTTTTTTTTTTTTTTGTGCCCTGGGACTGGAGTTTGAACTCAGGTCCTCATGCTTCTAGGCAGGTGCTCTACCATTTAAGCCACTCTACTAGCCCATTTCTTTTTGTTGGGTAGGTTTTCTTTTGGTGGGAGTGGGGTTTGAACTCAGGGCTTTGTGCTTGCAAAGCAGGTGCTCTACCACTTGAGCCATACCTCAAGCCCTGTGTTGGGTATTTTTGAGATAGGTTCTCATTTTTTGCCCCAGCTAACCTCGAACCAAGATCCTCCTGATCTCAGCCTCCCAAGTAGTTAGGATTACAGGTGTGAGCCACCTGTGCCCAGCTCACCCTCACAATTCTTGATGCCTTCTTCCTCTCTCGTCTCTTCCTGTCTCCAGGTAATACTGAGAAAAGGATTTTGTGTCACCCCCAGGCCACCTCCTTCATCTCTTTTCTCATTTGTCCCTTGGAAAACTCAGTTGGGGAGCAGATGATGTATTGGTCTAATGTAGAAAGCCCGACTGTGCTACTAACTCACTAAATAACCTTGAATAAGTCACAGCTTTTTACTGTTTTTTTGTTTGTTTGTTTGTTTGTTTTGTGGTACTGGGACTTGAACTCAGGGCCTCCACCTTGAGCCACTCCACCAGCCCTATTTTTATGAAGGGTTTTTTGAGATTGGGTCTCACAAACTATTTGCCCAGGCTGGTTTTGAATTGCAGTCCTCTTGATCTCTGCCCTCTGAGTAGCTAGGATTATAGGTGTGAGCCACAGGCACTGGGCTTTACTCTTGCCATAATATTAGGAATTTTGTGTATAAAATCATATTGATGCCTCTAGGAAACCATGGCGCCTTTGACTTGTTTCTTCTCCTGAGTATTGTTCAGTGCTTTGTTGGTCAGCATCCTCTGGGTCTAAGATTTTTGAGTTTTGAAAGGGTTCTGTGGCCTCACAGGGTGGGTGGAGCCAGGGTAGAAAGGCAGAAGGGTAACAGTCATTCGTGTACAAATGGTTCAGGCCCCACTTTGCCTTTTCTGGATCTTTGCAGGAACTGAACCAGAGCAAATACCAGAGCTTGGAAAATTGTAGTAGGTCCTCCTGATTTGTCTGGAACACTCATACCTGCTAGTAGCTTTCATCCTGCCCTCCCTGCCAAAGATGGCCATTGATAGAGACACTGGTTAATACTCGCTTTTTTTTTTTCCCTGTGGGCTCTTTTACCAGGATATTAACAGCCTCAACAAACAAATCGCTCAGCTTCAAGATTTTGTGAGGGCCAAGGGCAGCCAGAGTGGCCGGCATCTGCAGACCCATTCCAACACCATTGTGGTCTCTTTGCAGGTGGGACGTTGGGGGAGGAAAGTGTCATCTTTTATTTTATGTACTTAATGTATTTATTTTTTTCTCCTGTCGCCCTGGGCTTCTCTGTGTTCTTAAACTGACTCAAGTAGTCCATGCTCTAAGCCAGGGGCTTATTTTATTCTTAATTCAATTAATTTATTTTTTGAGACAGGGTCTCACTATTATATTATAGCCCAGGGTGCTGGCCTGGAACTTGTAATCTTCCTGCCTCAGCTTTCCGAGTGTTGAGATTTGGGGATTTTTTTTTTTTTTTTTTTTTTTTTTTTTTTGAGATAGAGTCTCCCTATGTTGCTCAGGCTCTATTCTCCTGATAAGACAGAAGTACTGAGATCATAGGCATGTGCCCAGTTCAGTGTCATCTTCTTTAACTGACTCTCTTTCCTTCCTTTTTAGTCAAAACTGGCTTCCATGTCCAACGACTTCAAATCAGTTTTAGAAGTGAGGACAGAGGTGAGAGGAATCTGTGTAGGTGAAATAGGATTTGGGGGGAAAGGCCCAAGAAGAAAGGGGAAAGGAACAAGTTTTACAGGGTCATGGGAAATAAGAGGGCTCTCTTTAACATGTCTGCTTTCCAGAGGCCTCAGGACCTTTGCATTTCTTCCCCAACCCCAGAACCTGAAGCAGCAGAGGAGTCGGAGGGAGCAGTTTTCCCGTGCACCTGTGTCAGCCCTGCCCCTTGCCCCCAACCACCTGGGTAAGTCACAGGCAATATGGGAAGTCCCAGGGTAGGGGCAGGAAGGGGGGGAACACTGAAGCTCATTTCTGTAGTTCTGATGGCATCCTCTAAAGACAGGTGTGGAATAAGAGAATAAATGGACCACGAAGTTGCTAGGCATTATCTCTCAGAGGTTGATCCTAGTAATGGGGATTTGTGTTCTATTCTTAGTCTCCCACATTCACTCTGTCAGAGGAGAATTTAGTTATATTCAGAAAAATGACAATATTTAATTTTTTGTGCACTTATTCACATTCTCTCATTTAATTTTCACAACCACCCTTTAAGAAAGCAGCTATTGGCTGGGTCCAGTGGCTTATGCATGTAGTCCTAACAACTCAGGAGGCAGAGATCAGGAGGATCAAGGTTTGAAGCCAACTCAGGCAAATAGTTCCAAGAGACCCTGTCTCGAAAAAAATTCTTCACAAAAAAAGGGCTGGTGCAGTGACTCAAGGTGTAGGCCCTGAGTTCAACCCCCAGTACTGGAAAAAAAGAAAAGAAAGCAAATGTTATTATCCCTACTTTACAGGTGAGGAAACTGAGGCTCAGAGAGGTTAAATGACCTGTCCAGGGTCACAAGGCTAGTAAGTGTCAGAGCTGGGATTCAAATCCAGAGCGTTTGGGCTTTGAAACTGCTTTTAACCATTTTAGATGTGCCATGTCCTCTTTCCTCTCTAGGGGGTGGTCCTGCAGTTTTGGGGGCAGAGTCCCATGCCTCCAGAGATGTGGCCATTGATATGGTGGACTCTCGGACCAGTCAGCAGCTACAGCTCATTGATGAGCAGGTACTCATGCTCAGAACTGGGGAGGATCAGCTTCCCTAATGTCTTCAGTATTCCCCCAGAGTTTTTGGAGTGTGCTATGTTGAATGGCAAACTGAGAGGGTCTTAGACTCAGGCCCTACTCTCAAGATGCTCATTGTGCACCTGTGCTTTCTCTCTCCTGAAGGATTCCTATATCCAGAGTCGGGCAGACACCATGCAAAACATTGAGTCTACAATTGTAGAGCTGGGCTCCATCTTTCAGCAATTGGCACACATGGTTAAGGAACAGGAGGAAACCATTCAGAGGTGAGATGCTTTTTCTCTCACCCCATACAAAGGAGCCTTCAGTTTCCTGTGGATTGGCATCTTGAAGTTTCCAGGGACTCAGTGCCCTTGGGAAGAATAGAGTGAATCCTACCCACCAGGCCCAGTTTACTTGCTTCTGTTCATTCAAGAAGAATTTATTGAGTACCTGTTCCATGTCAGACACCGATCCAGGTGCTGGAAACGCAGTGAGGAATAGAATAGTGAAGCCTGCATCTCAGGAAGCTCATTTTGTTGTGTATGTATGGAATTTGATAGGGCAGCTGTGGACAGCCTTCAAAAGAACTCAGCAAAGCTGGTGGAGTAGCTCAAGTGATAAAGCACCTGCCTAACAAACATGAGGCCCTGAGTTCAAACACTGGTACCAAAACAAAAAAGGGGGGCAGATTTCAGGTCCTATACTAATAAGGGCTATACAGAGAATTAAAATAGGACTGTGTTAAGAAAGTTACTGAGAGGCTGAGGGTGTGGCTCTGTGGTAGAGTACTTGCATAGCATGTGTGAGGCCCTAGGTTCAATCCCTAGCACTCCAGGAAAAAAATGTGCCTGAGAGTTGGACGTGGTGGTATATACTTGTAGTCTCTGCTCCCTGCTACTTAGGAGGCTGAGGCAGGAAGATTGCTCAAGCCTATCTAATTCCACGCCAGTTTTGGCAATACTGTGAGATGAGATAATACCTCAATAAAATAATAATACCTCAAAAAAAAAAAAAAAAAAAAGCTGTGTGCCAGTGGCTCAATCTAGCTGATCAGAAGGATTGTGATTCAAAACCAGCCTGGGCAAATAGTTCATGAGACCCTGTCTCAAAAAAACCCCATTACAAAAAAAAGGGCTGATGGAGTGGCGAAGGTGTAGGCCCTGTGTTCAAACCCCAGTACTGCCAAAATAAATAAAATAAGGGCTGGGGATGTACCTCAGTTAGTAGAGCACTTGCCTAGCATGTGTGAGGCTATAAGTTTGATCCCCCAGCAATGCAAAAATAAATAAACTGTAATAAGAATAGAAAATAAGTAAAATACAAAGAATACAATAGGATTAAATAATAGAATAAAATGAAAAAAGCAACTGACTGAGTAGCTATATCAGATTGGGTGGCAGAGAAGGCTGCTCTAAGAAGTGCTATCTAATCAGAGAGCTGAATGACAGGAGGAATCTAACCACTTAAAGAAGAAAGAACATTCTAGGCAGTGGGGACAGCTAGAGCAAAGGCCTTAGGATGAGTCCATTCTTACTTCACTCAAGACTCAAGGACTCAAGGACAGGGCTGAGTATATGGCACAAGTGACAAGAGTGCCTGCATAGTAAGCATGAAGCCTGGAGTTCAAATTCTAGTACTAAAAAAAAAGTCAAGGACACTGTGGCTAGAAACTAGTGAATAGGGATAGAGAGATACTGGTTACTAGAGGGAGGGAGGCAGAGGCCCACCAATAAGAAGGTCTCTGTTCTCTAGTGCCACCTGCTACTGAAAGGCATTTTTCCTACTCCTCTTCTGTGTGGCACTTAGTATTTATCCAGTCAGTTATGGGAATACATACAGTCGTGGATGAAAGGAATAAGATCCTTGCCCTTGTGTAACTTACAACTTAGTAGAGAGATAAATGATGAAAAAGAAACAAAATAAGTAAATGATTAAAGTTGGGTATGTCGGTGCATACACTTGGGAGGCTGAGGAAGTAGGTTCCAGAGTTTGAGGCTGGCCTAGGCTATATAGCTAGATCTTGTCTCAATGTAAATGGTTCAGTAATTTAGAAAGTGGTATGTGCTGAGGGAGTAAAGTTGATCAAAGTATATTATATGCATGTATGGAATGATCACAATGGGACCCCTTGTACAATTGATTCATGCTAATAGAAGTAAAATTACTTATTTAACAAAAAGTGATAAAGTAAAAAGTCGAGTAGGCTAAGTAGAGTAGGATAAACCAGCCAGGACTGCCAGATTAGAGGAATGAGTTGTAAATTAATTCGTTTTTCTTTAGTGTTTTTTTTTTTTTCCTTCCTTCAAGTTATAATTTTACATTGGATGGTAAGGTAGACCCTGTTAAGAAAGTAACTTGGGAGAAGGTAAGGAAGTTAGTCATGTAGATACCAGAAAAGGGAAGAACCGTACCATCTGTTTATAGTCCCAGCTACACAGGAGGCAGAATCAGGAGTCTCGAGAGTTCCCAAAGCCAGCCCAGCAAAGGTTTCAAGACCCTGTCTCAAGAACAAAATGCAAAACAAAAGGGCTAGGAACGTGACTCAAGTGGTAGAATGTTTGTCTAGCATGCTCAAGGCCCTGGGTTCAATCCCCACTACCATTAACAAAAAAAAAAAAAATGGAGTGGGGTGGGGGATCCAGTGTAAAGACCTTAGTAAAGTGTCTGAGTTAAAGGACAGCAAAGAAGGCACTGCAGCTGGGACAAGTGATGGAGGAAGAGTAGTTTTGTAGTTAGAGAAGAAATGAGAAACTGGATCACGTAGGATCTTATTAAGACCATTGCAAGCTTTGGTTTTTACTCTGAGCAACACAGGGAGCTACTGCAGTGATTTAACAAAAGGTTATATAGAACACCGTGTTTTATTGTATTTTCTTTTATTTTTTGCTGTGCTAGGGACCAAATCTAGGGCTTCGTGCATGCTAGGCAAGTATGGTACCACTATGTTAATTCATTTTTAAAAGGATTACTCCATTTTTTGGTAACCTCATAGGGGGCTAGGACAGAAGCAGGGAGATTAGTGCAGAGGCTTTTGCAGTTATCTAGGTAAGAGGTGATGATTGCTAGGATGACTGGCAGAAGTGGAGATGTTGAAATAGTGGATGGAGTCTGAATATATATTTAAGGTTGTTTGATCACCTGAATAAAGAGTATAAGAGAAAAAGTAGATGTTTTAGATGTGAGCAGGGGAAAAGATTTGAGGCTTTCACTTACAGTAAGGCTGGCTGATAGAGGTAGAGTAATTGTAGCGGAAAATAAGTTCCAATTAGATGCATCCAAGAAGTGAAATGCAGGGCAGCTCGGGTAGTGAGGGTCCTTGGTCTGCTCTTAGATAGAAATCAAAGGTGGGGGGAGAAATGAACCAAGCCTTGTATGCACATATGAATGATAAAAGAAAAATGAAAAAAAAAAATCAAAGGTGGACTGGAGCAGCAAAGGTCAGAGAAGTTTTATTTGTAGAGGAGAGAAAGGAAAGGCTGCATGGGGTTATGCAGCGGGACCTGGAAACCAGTGGTCCACTGAGTCAGGTTGGAAGTTGGGTTTTATAGCCTTTTTTTATTGCCCAAGAGCAGAGGTATCTCTCTGGCACAAGCAGATGTTTCTTGGGGAAGAGAAGCATCTCCCTGGCACAAACATGTTTCTTGGGGAAGAGAAGCGTCTCCCTGGCTAATTGACACCTTTTGGAAATACATGGACCTCCTGCAATCCACCCTTCAGAGGTTAGACATTTAAATGGAGATGTTGAGCAGGCAGATGGGTATATGGAGTTTCAGAGACAGGTCTGGGGTAGAGATGAAAGTGTGGGCAGAAGTAGACTTTGAAACTGAGCATGCAAAGTGGAGGATCAACACTAACACCTAGGGCCTGTTTTTTTTGGGTGGAATGGTGTGTGAAATCAGGGCTTTGTGCTTCAAGGCAAGCACTCTACTGCTTGGAGCTATACCTCCAGTCCATTTTGCTCTGGTTATTTTGGAGATGAGGTCTCGGGAATTGTTTGCCTGTTCTGGCTTCGAACCTCAATCCTCCTGATCTCTGCCTCCTGAGTAGCTAGGATTACAGGCATGAACCACCGGCACCTGGCTTGCTCTGGTTATTTTGTTTTGTTTTTTTGTTTTTTCTTCTCTTGCTCTGGTTATTTTGGAGATAGCTTCTTGTGAAGTATTTGCCCAGGCTGGCTTCGAACCTACATCCTCCCAGTCTCAGCCTCCCAAGTAGCTAGGGCTACAGGTGTGAACCAGTGGTGTCTAAATATGTTACTGCATTTAAGTGAAACATTTTAGGAAGAAATACTTTGCAGGTGATACTGTGTATTGCTTCTCATTAGGAGGTATTTTAATGTCAAATTATCCTTTCATTAATGAGAATAGGTATAGTCACCTAAGGTGGTGACAGACATAGCTTTTTTTCCTCAGTGCTAGGGATCTAGGCCAGGGTCTTGCATGTTGTAAGCAAGTGCTCTACCACTGACCTACATTGCCACCTGCTCTTTTAAAAAAAAAAGCCGTGGGCTGGGGATACAGTTCTGTGGTAGAGCACTTGTCTAGTATATGCAAGGCCCTGGGCTCAGTCTCCATTGTTGCAAAAAAAATAAACCTACATTTTCACCTTTGCAGGCAGCAAGTAATTTATGGGATACCTTGTGATAACCTGCTCCCCAAAGCCTTTTACCTAATGTTTTTAAGTCTATTTATGATGCTTGTCTGAATCAATATATCTGATTAGGGTTGTATATTTTTGAGTAAAAGAACTTCTCTCTATTAATTATTTTCTTATATTTTAGAGTAAATAGTTAATGAAGGAGTTGCCATGAGTTAGTGACAAGGAGTTTGTTTTGTTTTAATTCTTCGTCATTTTGAAACATCATTATAGACTTAAGAGTTTTATTTATTCTTTGTATTACATTCAGATTAAGTAGTCATTATTTCCAATGCTCAAATTGTTCCATCTTTCTCTGGTGGGAGCCAAGAGACTTTTGTTAGTTTTAAAGGCTGGGAGAAAATAAAAGTATCTGTATGCCAATTGGAATGATTCAACAGGGAAATAAAAATTCATGCGACAATAGAAGGAGGAAAGAGAATTCCTGAAATGTCCTTAATGTGAGAGGATGTGGGATCCAGTGCATAAGTTGAGGGCTTGGCTATAAGGAGATCTGGAAATAGGTGAGAAGGCAGCATATGTTATATGGAGGTTGGGGTGGTTTGGGGGACATTTTCTTCAGACAAATTCCAACTTCTCAGTTTGAGAAATGCACAGATGGACACATATCTGCCCACTTGCTCTTACA